TAACATCTAAACGTTAACATTGGTGTGAGGATGTCAACACATGGTCGATCAATATTACATTGAATAAAAAAAAGAAAATGGTTTTCGCGCCTTCTAGTTCTTTCGAGTCAATGAGAAAGGAACCCTATGTTGCGGTCTTTCCTTTCTGGCACAGGACAAATTACATATCACAGGACTAATTACATCACAAATAGAGCAGAAGGCGGATGCCAGGAATATATGGAAGCTTCTGATAAAGAAATCTTAAGCAGTGTGTGTGTGTGTGTGGTGTGTGTGTGTGTGTGTGTGTGTGTGTGTGTGTGTGTGTGTGTGTGTGTGTTTGTACAAGTCCTCTGGTCGTAGCTTAAACTCGAGCACTCCTCCTGTATACAAGTTTTTCATCACATGGCGCACAAAGAGCATTTAAAAATAGGGTGAATTACCCACGGTACCTTTTTGTGCATCTTTTTCACGCTACGATTAGGAGGTATACGCAACTAAGCATTGTCAAAATATGCACCGTCTGATCTATAATAAATGGTAAAAATTCAGCCACCATCCTCATTGGTTTTTCGAATGTCGAATGAACAAATATGACCCACGCAGCCACCTGCCATATGCGGGCATCTAGCATCGACGTGCATGAATGAATGTGTATTGAATGGTGCGCGGCAACGCGCTCTGGGAAGTTTAATAAGTGTGCAGGCAACAAAAGCGTTGATAAGCGGCAAGAGATTTGATTCATAAAAAACAAGAGATGGAAGTGACATTGTAGGTGTTTCAAGAGGTGAAGAAACGAATAAACAAACAAGAAAATTGAAAGAAAAAAAAGGTCAGAGTAAACGTCTCTGACAGGAAAAAAACATATTCAAATGCGCAGAACGTTTTCAGGGAAGAAAGACGTCTATAAAACAGAGTTCGTAGTTCACCTTTTTTTTTCAGACCTTCAGCGCACGGAGAAACGTTTTCCCCCTCTCTCTGGCAAATTTCTATAGCCAACCAACTGAAGGCAGCCATATGGATGGATTGCAAATAGTCAACTAGTGCCACCATTCCAGCACTTAATCCGTGAGAGGTTTCATAGCTGCAAATTTTTCATCAATGCGTGACCCAAACATTTATCTTGTAAAGCAATGGCTATCAAGATCACTCCGCAAGGATCTCAAATCATATTTTTGCAGTTAATCAAGAAACGATTTACACGAACGCACAACTTTCTTCCACATGCACAAAAGGAAACGCTTCAAATGTGATGAACAGAGTGGTCAGCCAGAAGGGTACTTGTGTCTGCTCTACAATGCTGCGTAAGGCAAAGATGCTAATGACAGGACAAGAGGCACAGTGTGCATGACGACGATAGGATAGAGTGTACTACGTAGTAGATGCCTTATTTCGAGACACTGCGTGCGCTTACATCTCACCTACACGTCAGAATGCGCAAGCTATCCTTTTAGAGCCTAGAGTTGGGGCCACTCTCTGGTAAAAATATAAATGTCACTCGTGTTGCTAGAAGACTATTGTTCTGCCGTGGCTCGTCGTGTTTCTAAGAAGCAAGCCATCGACAAGCTGTCAAACCTCGGCGGGGCCTTGCCGGACGTGCCAGCAACTGAAACCAGGAGCTTCCTCGAGTGATTGTCTACAGCAGCTGCGCTCTTTCGTGCCCCTCCCCTCTTCCCCTGCTAACATTGACGATCATGACTCATAAGTCCGCACCAAAACATGTTGATTCCGTGTCAAGCAACTCTTACTAAGATGACTGCTGAAAACTCGGCCACCTCGCCTGCGTGGAAATAATGCCCAACGCTCGAATTTGCCTTGACGTCATCTAAGTGGCTTCTAACGGCTTCATGGCTCGGTACACTGACCTCTTAGAAAAATATATCGCTCTGCATGTACCCACAAAGGCTATGCGCATGGCCGTGGACCTGTTTCCCGTCACAATGGCATAGCGGCAATGCTGATGATGATGATATGTGGGGTTTAACGTCCCAAAACCACCATATGATTACGAGAGACGCCGTAGTGGGAACTCCGGAAATTTCAACCACCTGGGGTTCTTCAACGTGCACCCAAATCTGAGCACACAAGCCTACAACATTTCCGCCTCCATCGAAAAATGCAGCCGCCGCAGCCGGGATACGAACCCGCGACCTGCGGGTCAGCAGCCGAGTACATTTGCCACAAGACCACCGCGGTGCGGCTAGCGGCAACGCTGCACGACTGGTGATCCTATAGTATATAATGATTGCTTGGGTCTAACTCCTTGGAACAATGATACGATTATGAAAACTGCCGCAGCGGAGGGGTCCGGAAATTTCGACCATCAGGGGTTCTTTAACGTGCACCTATATCTAAATACGTGGGCTTCTAGCTTTTTTGACTCCATCGAAAATGCTGCCGCCGCGTCTGGCATTCCATTCCGTGAAGTCGCGGGTCAGCAGTTGAGTGCCATATCCTCGAGACCACCGTGGCTGGTTGCATGCTGACCCAAAGGTCGTGTGGTCAAATCCCGGTGGTGACGTACACGTTTTAAAGGAGGCTGTATGTTACAGAACAGGTGCGTCACGCACGTCAAGGAAGTCCGTGTTGTCTAAACTTACGAAGCCCTCCACTATGGCGTCCTTAATTACCATGGCGTCACTTTCGGGCGTAAACTGCCAAAAAACCATTAACGAAGATACGTCGCTTCTTGCACCGCGAGCACTGTGAAATTTTTATTAGGCTGACAGGGAAAATTCTTGCGGATGCCGGGAAACCAATGCTGGCTGTGAAAATTACGCTAACGTCATCGCCGGCCACGGTTTCAACACGGCATCCGGGTGCACCAACAGCAACGTGAAATTGGCTTTCCTGAAATTGAAATTCTCATTGAAAATAAGCCTCTCCCGGGGAATCCAGCAATAACTGACATAAAAATTTGGGAACAAAGTAACTAGGAGAAAGAATCTATTCAAAATATGCAAGGATTGTGTAAAAACGCTTGTTTGTGGGCGCGGGAAAACTCCAAATATGAACGAGAGCCACGTTTCCTAGCTAAAGTCGGCAGCGTAGAAGCGGTATTTTTCTTCCTTGTGAAACAATCAGGTTACTCACCGCTTGAAACCACATCGTAAAGCAGTAGTCGCCTCTTTCTCTACCACTTAAGTGAACCCCATTGCTACTCGGGACGATTTCTTGCTTCATTTCCTCTCAAGAGGCTGCAATGAATACTCATTTCTTTTGCGTCAAAGTGTTCGCGGAGGCGCGGCCACGACAAGCTCTTCTTCTTGCGAACTTGATAATTTGCTAAAGCAATTCGAAATACAGTACGGAGAAAAAAAAACTTTTTTCCCCACCAAAAGCTATTTTGTATTATAATTCTGTTCCATCGCTTAAAATATACATAATTACTCTATCATTATTGTGCGCTTTGTTTGCTTACTTCTATTGCATGCTCGTCATTTGTTTATTTCGGTTAAAATATGGACATCCCTTATCACATTCAGCTAAATATGGGAATGAAACCAAACTCAGAAGACAATGTCTTTAAACGATCAGTGATACTTCATATAAGCGTCTTTAGTGATTCTGAGTATTCCCGCAACCCAGGATAACTAAATAAAGTGATGAAAAATACGCATTTATCTCCATCACTCACAAAAACAAAACGCGCTAAATATTCACGATTCCGCGAATGGCGATTTCAAGATAATTTTAGTGTGGCGTCCGCAGCATCTAGGCAGCATGCAAGCAGCCATGGAAGATAGAGAGTTTAGTTGGACGTCAGCAAATGCTAGAAGCCTGCGTCCGCAGAACTGTTACGGACAGTTTACGAGCATAATTACAGGAGAGGACAGAAACCTTATCTATAACACGGAGAGCGAAGGAGGGTTGGACGTTTTATTTCTGCCGGCTTCGATGTCTGTGTCTACGTCACAATCTTACCACTTTACCCCTCCCTCTCCCGGGTGTGTAACAACACGCCCATGCACTTCAAAAGCTGCGTATGTTATGCCAGCGAGTCCTCGTCAAACGTCCGTGCCTATGAAAAAGGCAATCTGGGTCAAGGCCAGCCCGCAGTCCGCCTGACGCGAACAACCCAACGGCGTGAACACGCGCGGCGCCTCTCTGGCCCACGTGCATTGAGTCAGCGGCGCACGTGACAGCGAGCCGGCGTCCTCGTGTCTGGTGGTCTGACGCATTGCGCGGCGAACCCCATTGGAGGAATCTGCCCTGACGACCAGCGGCGCTTCTAATTGGACATTTGTGGTTGGACCCGGTGCCTATAAAAGAAGCCCTGCGGTGCGTCGCGATCGGAGGTCCTATGAGAGAGGAGTCCCCATGTCGGAGAGCCGACATGTGTGTGAGTCAGCGGTCTTAGGCGAAAGGCTGATCTATGTGTTAGAGAGGAGAGCTCGGCTCTTCGAGTCTCTGTCGGCCCCAGTGCCGAAATTGTAAAGCCTCTGTATATATGCTGTACATAAACCTTGTTTAACGCACCGTCGTCTCGTCCGCTCGTCTTATCAGCTCTGCGCAGAAGCAGTCGCGGGCTGAGAAACATACGCTACCAAACGGCTGGTGACCTTCCCGGCGGAGTTGAAAGCAGTGGCGCCTTCGGGGCCGTGTTGGCGTCGCCGTCTTTCGCAACAGTGGTGGCTTCGGCGGGATCCGTCCGTCTTTCGCAACAGCATGCATTCGTAGGAAACAGCAGCGTAAGCCGATTTCAGAAAGGTTGCTTACTGCAATAGTCGGTTTGTTCCTGGTACTTACTCATGCCAGAATGAACATATGTATAAAGAAAGGTAGACAGCGGTAATGCATACTGTGTAGTCGTAATGCATACTGAACAAACCAGTGCTTCTGCAATCGCTCGCCTCTCTGTATTTTTTACCAATGGCAACTTTGGCCAATCTGATCATTGCTTTCGAGTTGACTTCGAAGAATTGGTGGCAACGACCGCGGAATGACTTGCCTCGGGGCCGGTCAGTGTAAAACAATGTCTTATAGTCACGACGTGAGCGGGACGAGAGCAGCGTACTCACTTTGTGATGAGGCACGTCTTGCCTACGGAGACGTCTCCGACCACCACCACTTTGGCTGCACGGACCCTGTGGCAGGACATCAAGTGAAAACCAAATAGAGTATTTAAAAATATATATGGAAAGAGGAGAGATGGACAAATGACTTATTCACTCGATACATTACGCATGCTAGCTGCATTCTGATGGAAGCGATAACGTTTAGTACCATGTACTCGAATTTAGCTGCACCGTTAAAGAACCCCATGTAAGTCAAAATTTTTAGGACCCCCTTTACAGCGTCTCTCATAATGATATCATTGTTTTTCGAGGCAAAACACCAGGCTATATTATTATTATTATTATTATTATTATTATTATTAATTTTACCGCTCTATTGCCATCTAGCATTTTGTGCACAATGGTAGTAGTGCCTGCAAGTATTATTGATTTTATTCTATTGTGGAATCACGAACTAACTAAAGAAAGAAAGAAAGAAAGAAAGAAGGAAAGAAAGAGAGAAAGAAAGAAGAAAGGAAGAAAGAATAATGATGATTCTGACATTCCGTCGCCTGAAGCCACAGTGCAAGAATGTGCCCAGAGCACAGCACGATCTGAGAATGCCACGCCTGCGGCATTCTATTCTTCTTTGACTATTACAACAAGGTCTTTTGCTGCGTTTTTTTTTTTGCTCGCGGCGCCTCACACGCAGTGAGTGCGCTTTGTGATTGTGTACGTCACCCAGAACGTGCACGCGGGATCCTCCGGCCGACTCTGACGTATCCCTCTCTTCCTCCATCACTCTATATGTACGTAAAGACCTGTTCCTCCTTTTTCAAAAAGCTTTGCTGTTTTTCTCCGTGGAACGCTTTGCTCGCAAAGCGCAAGGTAAGGGGGGCCTTCAGAGCGGTCATTACGTCACGACGTATGGGAGGGTACAGAGAATTCACCGCGTGACATTGACCCGGAGCGAGCAGCTTCTCCGCACTCTCACTGTGACGCATCGCGCTGCATACGTATGATTCTATTTCTCACGACTTTGTTGCCGTTTTCAAAATGCAAGACTCTCATGTGTGTTATATATATATATATATATATATATATATATATATATATATATATATATATGTATATATATATATATATTATATATATATATATATATATATATATATGAGGGGGGGTGACAAGCGGTGCTTGCTGCGCTTGCTCGTGTGTGAACTGAAGAACGTCTTGCGAATATTAAGTGTTACTTCTTTAGTATCTTGTTATTGGTTAATAGCGCTAGTGCTTTTTTTTCTTATAGAATTATGGTATATTATTGTAATAGGTTTGTCACGCACGCGTTTGGAGGGCGTTCCAACCTAAAGTTCATTGACCGAAGAAAATCTGAGTTCGAGCTCCTACACAGGCAATTCGGAAGGTCAACGATTCAACAGTCTATCTAGTAACATGGTCGTACACTCCCTGAAACAAGGTACGGAAACGGTGCCGATGCACACCGTGGTTCACGTTCGGCTTCTATTCACGAGTAAAAAAAAAGAAAATGTAAATCAAGCAAAATATTTTTTAAAATAGTTCACACCTTAGACTTTAGTGGTTTGAAAGCGCCCGCGATATTTTTTAAAATAGTTCCGGTTGGAAATATTTATTAACTGATGAGGCACTTTACCACGTGAAACGAGCATGCAGTCAGAGGGCCCCTGCGAAACCAAGAAACACAGCCAAATGGCAGATGCATTGGGTGGTAAACGAAGCCACAATTTCGCTTGTCAAAAACCTAAAGCAAACCATATATTCATTACAATGTACAAAGAATCTGTTCAAATTGTTGAATAAAAACAAAGTATCCTTAAGCTGAGTGTACTATTGCTCATTTTCTGGGATGAAAAAATCCGCAGCATGACCCAATTTTCGTTTTTTTAGTACATCAAGGATCCAAAGAGACATTATTTACATGAGGGGTAGGCAAACAAAAAAAAAAACATAACAGATGAAACAAAAAAAACGAAAAAAAGTGGCACAAACAATACCAAAATGTAGAATACCAGAAGTAGAACCATAATTGGAAAGATAAAATATGAATTTTACGACGTTTTTAAATTGATTGCAGCGTTTTAAAGTTTTGCGAGAAACGCCTCAACCATGCACACGACAGCGTGTCAGAATCACCTGGAAGCATAACCATTGGAACGATTGGCTTGGATAGGTGTAGTGTGTAGCGTTGGAGAGGTGTAGTGTTTACACGATCTTCGAGAGAAAGCACTGCGGGTGCGAGATTATAACAAACATATATCTGGCCTTTTACAATCCTAATCGATTGCAACGATTTGAGAAGTACTCAGAAAGTTCTAGCTAATCTACACGCCAACTTTTTACTCTCACAACCATGTTCCCAGGCACAAATTATCCCGTACGCGTGCGTACATACTACATACATACATACATACATACATACATACATACATACATACATACATACATACATACATACATACATAAATGCGGAACGATTTGAGCATCTCTCGGCCATAGCCAGGATCCTTACAGGGGCACCCTATTATGACGGTCTCGCTATTGCGGGGACTCTAAAAAGCACCAATAAAAATATTTGCGCTTTGTGTGAACTCGCGGGTGCCTTGAAACCACTAAAGTTCTAAAGGTGTGACCGTTCGTGGAAAAAAGCGTGTGCCATACACTGCGCATTTTAAACACAAAGCGGCAAATCGAGGTATACTTACTCGGCACCAACGGAGCTCCGCTTGAGACACGCATCGCGTATGTCCGGGGGGAAGTCGGTTTCCGGGTACGGTGTGTCCAGGTACGAGTAGGCCTGCACCACGAACAAAGTATATATCAGCTCATATTTCCCGGTTGCGTTCACAGCAACTAACGGCAGAGCGCAGCGAAAAAAAAACAGGCCGTAATAAATTTTATCTGACCATGACGCTACAGTAACTAAGATATCATGAATATTCTAAACGCATGAATAAATGAGTAAATTGATTGTTCCGCGCATTTCAAGCATCATACGATTAACCTCAACTGTATTTTTTGCTAGCTGTGACTGGAAACGTCTACCATCTGCAGTCCTCAACGTCCGAAACACAAACAAACTGGCGAATAATTAATCAGTATGCCTCGATGGTACAACGCCTATAGTGCTCGGATACTGACTCTAAGGTGGCGAGTTCGATTCCGGTTGTGGCTGTCGCATTTTGATGAAGGCAAAATATTATTGGTGTAATGTGTGGTGGCAGTGCACTAAATACACACCATGGCAGATGTTCAAAATTTCTGGTGCCCGCCACTATGACGTGTCTCATGATCATATTGTCGTATGGGCACGTTAAACGCTAAATAATATTATTATTACTGTTCAAACAGTTTCCATGAGTGATAACTCCGAGAGCTATCTTGGACCACTAACTACGCAGTTACGAGAGGTGCCTCAGGATTGATAGGTAATATGAGAGGCATATTAATACATGGCGCTTCCAGATGTAACAGGAATAAAAGAACGCGTGTCAGGTACATATCATCATCCAAGGCTGTTTTGTTGATTGTAAGATATATGCATCAGCATCAGCAGCATATCAATTGTCTTACGCACGTGTTTGAGAATAATCAATAATTAAATATTACACACGGAAAGGGATTAATAATCATAATACAAGCAATAGCTACACACACACACACACACACACACACACACACACACACACATATATATATATATATATATATATATATAGTATATATATATCATTTTTATCTCAACGCAGAGTGCTCGCGGATGTTACTCTACCAACCACAACTCCGGTAAGATTTTCCAAAAGTTTTGCCATCCCCGTACTCATGCTTGGTAAATAGACGAGCCAAAAGTGAAATAAAATACATGTGTCTCCAAGCATAATCTATAAAACGTGTCACAGCATGATCTATGCAAGGGTCTAGTCAGAATATGGAAGTTATCCAGGTATTGCGCCCAGAGTATGTCATTACTTAAGTTGTATAGAAATCCTATAATCATTAGCATGTACATGCCGTATCTTCTTACCAGCTGGTGCCACAAAAGAGAGGTTAAAACATTTCTGCCGAGTTATCCTATTGACTGGCTCCGTCTCGTGGGACCACGATTGAAAGCGGTCAATAGCCGATAACAGCAACTGAGCTGAAGTGTCTCAATGATCGCATTAAAAAAGTTACAACTTCACACCTTTATACAAAAGACAGCAATAAAGATAGACCTTTCGTGTAGCAATTGACATATTGTGGCGTTTAAACGTCCCAAAAACCATTAATTCGTGAGAGCCCAAGTATTGGCAGTGGCTCTCAGAAATTTAGACACCTTGGGGTTCTTAACAGTGAACCAATCCCTGAGCACGGGGGACGGCCTAGCACAACAACCTTGGGTGTAGCAAATAGTATGTGTATGTATATGTATCTGTTTATATAAAACCATAGCTTGCGTGTATGTACCATAGTATACATTATCTCATATTCAGTAGGGTAGGTTCTCAATCGCTGAAATAGTGCAGTAAAATGGAAGGCAGCGGGAAGATAAAACTCGAGTCTGATTAGAGTGTTTTCATAGATAGCCTTCGTAGAACTGCTATAAAACTTTCAGTTAAAGAGCAGTTGGAGAGTTCAGTCTTGCCACCCGAACATAGCGCGCTCGTTCCTCGTTTCAACAGTCAGAGCTGGACCCAAGCATGGACTACGGCTGCGAACAGCACATTCACATAGCCCACCTTGAAAAGCTTCCGCACTCACTTCTTGTGTTGAGCAATGCCGCTGCCAACGCTGGCACAGCAACGGTGTCTGCGATTGCGGAAACCAGGTGGGACAAAATCACTAAGCTCGGAGGGCGGGAAAATAGGCGTGGCTGTGACGTCTGGCGCCCGCGGTATCGTCACTTAGGAAGTTGTGTCGAGCCAGGGGTAACATTCGGGTTTACCTTAGCGCGACTCAGCTCTGAATTCCCGGATGACCCTCACTACCGCAGTCTGCCAATTAAAGATCGTCATCTCTCTCTATACGCCGAGCACCCTCCCATTGCGCAGTCGCATTGGCCTAGCGTTCTGCTCACCGCTGGAAGCCGTATACATGCCTCGCTCGCTGAGTAGTTGCTTCGGCGGATGAATAGCTCATCTGTACAACACGAAAATGAGAAGCTCGTCTGGTGTGGACAATGTCAAATAACTTTCGGTAACCACACTTCGGTGCGGCGAATAAAGTGTAATTATTATTTATTCAATGAAAAACACCCTCTCTCAGGTTTCTTGGACCATTGAAATTTCTCCCATCATTCAGAACATATAGGTGTCGTGAAAACCCCTCCGGTAAACTCCAATAGGTGCTCTTTCCACCGCAACCTGCATAACCTCACTTAACTGTAACACTCAGATTGATAATATCTTTCCAGGCTATACAAATGGTTTCAGCAAAGTTCCTCGGCGCCGCTTTTATTAAATCTTTCCCAACTAAATTTACATCCCAGTATTCTGCGATGTACCGAACGGAAACACGTTGATCGTTCTGAGTCAGGCACTCTCAACAAACACATCAGGATATCCGCAAGTATCTGTCCTCGATCCTCTTCTATTGTTGACAGTATTTGTTATCGATTTACCCGAGCATGTCTCCTGCAGCATTCATGTCAATGGCTGCGCATTTACCCCACCATACGTAACCTTCATGATAAACTTGGTCTTTGGACAAGCCTTAACAGCTCGCTTAATTCGTGTACCTGCTGCTAAATAGTGTTCCTCATGCTTAATAAATGTAAATTAGCATCCCCGTCTCATCACAATAGCATGTATCATATTCTATACTCTATCGTTAACGCACTGAGTTTGTAGCATCCCATAAATACTTAGGAATAAGTCAACCCAACTATTAATCACAGAATACCCACATTGATAACATAATTTGAGCATCAAATGCAATATTATATTTTATGCCGTCCCTCCACGTAAATATTCTCACGTGTAAATATTTTATTAGAACTGAACTAGAGTTTGCATGTGCCGTTGAGCCCACATAGAGTGTATTTATTCAAGACATTAGGCGTTGTTCCAAATTGTCCCGATAGATTCATTCGATTTACCTAGTATTCATGCCAAGTCAGCGCATATACATTGTAAACAAAATTAAAAAAAAACACCATGATTTCTTTGAGCCATCAAATTGTAAGCCTTCACGTTTATTATAAATTACTTCATTCTTCCCTGAATCAGCTACTTTACGTAGCAGCCGCAAAACGCGTGTCTCACCGCATCAGCCGCTCTCCTAAAGTTCACCGCCCATCATCGCTCACTATTAATTTTTCGGCATGGTACTTCTGTAGCTACAGAGTATAATAGCGTGCCCCGAGACACTGTAACCATCAGTTCATATATAGTCTGTATTTCAAAACCGAGTTCTTGATCACGTTCAATACTAAAGCAATATTCGCTGCCTTATTCATTGGTTTGAATAAAACCCCTTTTTTTAAGGCTTGCAAAAAAAAACGAGGGACCTTACCATCGTGAACTGGACTGGGCAATCAATCGATGACTTTACATTTCGTTCACGTTTCAATTAATGCGAATTGCTAGAAGCACGTGCACAGTGTTATGTCCGGAATGTTAGAGAACACTGAATTGCCTAAATTTCCCAAGCCGTATACGCTACGCTTAGCCTCATAATCACATCGGCGTTCGGGCATGTAAAGTCCAAGATATAATTATTCATTATTCTTTTATTTTCTTCGAATGTGCTCAGTGTAATTGAGTTAGGTTTAAGCCATAATTTACACGTAATCAGTTACAGTTTCGACGATATTTTAAGACGGCAAATGCAACGTCAACTTCTGTGTTGTTTACACGGAAACGTCCACGGACATTTAATAGCGAGTGTTCCAAAGTCCTGGTAGCCTTTTTTTTCTTTTCTTTTTGTTACTCGACGTAGCTCACCACTTTTTTTTATTACATGAACAAGTGCTGCTGTAGATGAATTGCGATGATGCCTTTAATATTCTAATTTTCCTACCAGGGGCATTTCTTTGAAGCATTCTGACCCAACACGAAAGTGCTAGTCATGTTCGTACTTATGCAAACTTTTGTGCGCAACGTGCTCGCATATATCACGAAACGCGCCTTTTTGCTAGCCAATACAAACCAATAAAGAGTTTAAGTTGTCTCGAGTCTATGTACAGAAGGGCAGCTATTAGGACGAAATAAAGTTGTTTCACTCAGTGTATATACTCATGTTTTAATACAGAACTGAAGAAGGCTTACCATGAAAATCGTTAAAGAGCAACTGCTAGTGACAATAAACAAGGCGTAAAACGTTGTAGAAGACACAACGAAACAGTCAAGCCTGCAAAGTTCTACGTACTATATTTGCATGAGTTGATGAAGTATCAGAGTTGCGTAAAAGTAATAAATTGCTTTTGAATCAATCCTTGGTTATTTTTTTTATTACTGGTAATATTATTATTAAAATCACCGATAATATTAATTATATTAACAAAATTATAACTTTTATTGTCATCTTGAGTACAACAGAGATAACAGGCCTGTCGAAGCTATATGGTGGCTTAGATAATAATAATAATAATAATAATAATAATAATAATAATAATAATAATAATAATAATAATAATAATAATAATAATAATAATAATAATATGAAAATAATAATAATATAATAATAGTAATAATAATAATAAACAACAGTAATAATAATAATAATAATTATTCCGGTTTGACATCCCAAAATCACGGTATGAATCTGAGCGATGCCATGGCAGAGAGCTTCAGAAACTCTTCAGACCATTTGGTG